CGGGGCCCCCCATCCCTGCCGTCCCGGCGGCGCGCGCACTCACGTGGCCCAGACCTCGCCGTGCTCGTCGGGGAAATGGGCTTCCACGTGATGCTCGCCCGAGCCTCGTGACACAAAGGAGCCCAAAAGCGGCACCGTTGCTCCGGCAACCCTCTCAGGATGAGACCCACAGCAGCTCTGAATGGTCTTCCGGGCCGGGCCGGAAGCGCTCCCTTCGAGACAGAAAGTCCCGCCTCTCAGCCTGGCCCCACGAGCGCCCTAGAGCGCCACCTCCCGGGCGGAGGGGGAATGGGCAGTGCCCTGGGCAGTAGAAATACCTAATCTTAAATCCCAACAGTGAAGGCCATTCCACCTCTGCTTAACTGACCTCCTATTCATCAGGGTTCTTGTGAGTATTAAGTTAGTTCACTCAAAAAACACTTACTAAACACCTACTATGAGCCAGGCACTGGATTACTCCGTAGGAATCTTAATAATTGTCCTTATACCCTATGAAGCTGGCTTTAGGGAAGTCATTTGGAGCCAATGGAATAAGCTCAGTCTGCATCTCCATGGTTTTGGTGAAAATGTAGTGGAAGGATATTTAAACTTGTGACTAAAAATTTTTTTGACATATAGTTTTTCAAAAATTTTCAGGTATGTATAGAAAAATATTGAAGGCTATTTTTATTAGTTTCCTTTTGCTTCTGTAACAAATTACCACAAGTTTAGTGGCTTAAAACAATACAATACTGTACAGTTCTGGAGGTCAGAAGCCTGAAAAGGGTCTCAGTGGGCTAAAATCAAGGTGTCAGCACGGCTGTGTTCCTTGCTGGAGGCTCCAGGGTAGAATCTGTTCTTTTGCCTTTTCCAGCTTCTGCACGCTGCCTGCATTCCTTGGTTCATAGTCCCATCCATCTTCAAAGCCAGCAATGGCCAGTTGAGGCTTTTTCATGATGCCATCTCTGATTTGGATTCTCATCTCCTTCTCCCCGTTTAAGGACCCTGGTGATTACATTGGACCTACCCAGATAATTGAATAATTTATCTTAAACTCAGCCTATTAGAAACCTTAATTCCATCTGCAAGCTTAATCCCCCCTTGCTATATAATATAACATTTATAGGCTGTGGGGATCAGGCCCTGGACATCTTTGAGGAACCAGTATTTTGCTTACCATTCTTATAAGATACCCATCCAGCTTCTGCACTGGGAGGCCCAATCCATTTCTCCCTTTCCTCCTTCTTTTCTTTCTCTAAACAAGCTGTTATGTCTCCTTCTGTTACTTATATATACTTAACATGCAAAAGTGCACAAGTCTTAAGTGTACAGCTCGTTGAGTTTTTACATACATAATAAACCCACGTAACCACCACCGAGCTCAAGATAGAGAGCATTTCCACTACTACAGAAAATTCCCTGGGGCCACGTCCCAGTCAATAGCCCCTTCAAGAAGTGACCTCGATTCTGACTTTTATCACCATAGATTAATTTTGTTTCAAGAAATTAATATAAATACAATCATGCAGAAGTTATTCTTTTTTAGTCTGGCTTTTTTTTTTCATTCAACATGCCAATGAGATTTACCCAAGTCTGGCATACAATGGTATTTTGTTTCTTTTTTTTTTTAATTACTGCCATTGTATGAATATATCCCCATTTGTTCATGCAATTTCCCGTTGGTGATGTTTCTGGGTTTGGAAACTGTTCAAATCTTTTTGGGTAGCCATTATTCCATTTCTGAATACCTGCTGTGCTGGTGTCCTATCTCCTAGGCCTAATTCTTCACTCTGAACCCCATCCCAAAACCAGAATTGTTCTTCCTGGTGCCAATCCCTGAACTGTAGGAGGTTGAATCTACCCAGCCCCCCACCTCTGCTCTCCCCAAGTCATACATTCCTGGTTCCACCAGGAACTGTTTCTCATATGCCCCAGTATTCACACGGCCACAATCCACAATCCTGTTAGCACTGTCAGTCCCAAAGGTAGCAATCCGCAGTAACAATGCGACAAGTCTTACAGACTATGAACTGAGTTATCGGTACTGTTTTCCCATTCACTGGCTCCTGTAAGACTCAGTTAAATTTTTGGCTCCCTTCAAGCAATGGTGTTGCAACATAGCAGGCCATATGTAAATTGTCTTCATCCCTAATTCCACCTTATTTTTGTTATTTCTCCTTCACCTCTAGTCCCTCATCTTAAAGGATTACTGCCTATGGCATTTTTATGAGCCAACTCAAAATCCCTTTTGAAGGAAAAAAGGGTAAGGTACCAAATGTTTAATTTTGGCTAGAGAGCACTTACGGTTGGCTTCAGGAAGGCGTACAGTTCACAGTTTAAAAATGTAGATCCTAGCTCTAGCCAGTTTGCTCAGTGGATAGAGCGTCAGCCTGCGGACTGAAGAGTCCTGGGTCTGATTGCCATCAAGGGCACATGCCCTGGTTGGTTGGTCGGGCTTGATCCCCATTGGGGGGCTTGTGGGAGGCAGCTGGTCTCTCTCCTTCTCCCTTCCTCTCTGAGATAAATAAAAATATATAAAAATAAAATAAAAATGTACATTCTAAAGATGCCCAGGACTGCTTCAATTGAGAACACCTTCATTTATCTGATGAGGACCTCCAGGCTCAGCTAAGTGGCTCAGGGCGGGCTGCTGTGATGGCTTTGGTTTCAGGACATTCTTGCGCAGGAGCCAGGTGGACGCTGGACTGGGGAGCCGGGCAGGGCCACCCCAAAGCAGAGCGCCCCCAGACCCCGCCCCCAAGCTCTGCCCGGAAGTGGAACGCACCCAGGCCACGACTGTCCAGGAGACTGGCCACCCTGTGGTTGGGAGCACTGTCCGCCTCAGCTCTGCGGGCTCCCATTGGCCAGCAGCAGGCGGCTGAGCTCGCCACGCACGCGCACTGCACGCTGCGCCACGTGCTCCTCAGGTGGGTGGCGCCTGGCTCGTGTAAAAGGGCACGAGCGGCACAGTCGGCCCACTGTCCCCTCCGCTCCTCGCGTCCGGCCATGGCTTCCCCGGCCAGCACGGCACCAGGCGCCGATGACGGTGGCCGCAGGAAGCTCCGCCTGGCAGCTTCATTGCAGATCAGCCCCAGGCGCCCTTCCGCGAGCCGGGGCCAGGACTCCTGGGAGCCGCCGCCGGTCCCTGGCATGGAGGACCATGAGGGGGGTGGGCAGGCCCTGGCCTCTGCTGCGGAGGTCGGTGGGCCCTTAGGGAGGGCCGGAGCCGGAGGACTGGGCACAGCTCAGGCACCGGAAGACGTGGGGGGCCAGATGGGAAGTTTCCCGAGGGTCTCTGTCCCCCCTGCAGGGCTCGCTGGGGACTTAACGAAGGCGGCCAGACAGCTGGGCCTGCAGCTCAAAGACCTGCCGCCTGGCCAGGCCGTGGCCTTGCTCACACAGTACGCGGCCAACCTGGGAGTCTCCCTGATCTTCCGAGAGGACCAGACGGCAGGTGAGGCCCGGCGGCCTGGGAGGGCAGCACGTCCCAGGGCAACTCCAGATGAAGCAAGGGGAACCTTGGGCGGGGCCTGAGCCTGGGACCTGAGACAGAACCCTGATCCCCCCCCCCCCCCACCCCCACCCACCCACGGCTGTGAGCAGCATGGTGCTAGGACCACCAGCTACACTGAACATCTAACATCTAACTGGCAGGTCTGGAGATGATTTGAATATCCTGTTCCCTATAACACTGACACCTCATTTTTAATAACGATTGTTGCCAGACTTGTTTACTACTGTGCTGGCTGCTGTGTGCTGGTTTTCTGATGCCAGCCTTCCTTCTGCATCTACCAGTTGCATTTCTGATGCCCTTTTAAAGTAGGTGAATCTGGGGCTAGTGAGCAGTGCTGAGAGGGGGTTCTCTTCTAAAACAGCAGTCCTTTTGGGAAACAGTGAAGTGGCAAGTACCAGCAGCTACCATGAACTGATATAAGTTTATGCCCTTTAACCAAGTGATCCCAGTTCTAGGATTTTCGTGTCTCTTTTGTGTCATAAGTAACACCTGAAACGATAGTGTTTGCTAGTTGAAACTTTCCAACGTAGAAGAACTGGAGCCACGTGTCTGCGGAAAGGCAGCGGGTGCTCTGTGCTCAGGGCCATCATCCTGAGAGCAGCGCGGCCCTGGATTTGGGTCCTGGTACACGGCCTGCCCTTTGTAAAACGGGGTCTTACAGGCTTACTTCAGAGGGGCTGGTGAGGATCCTCTGTGTGATGATGGCCCAGCACACAAAGGCACGCAGGAGTCGGTAGCCTGTCTCCTTCTCGGCTGGCCACCTGGGTAGAGGTTGTGGCCCCCCCCCAGAAAGGGCCCCCGATAGACATGAAGTGCAGGGCACCACTTCACAGTCGCCTCCTTCCCTAGACCCCTGCTTCCCCTTCTCTGTGTGTGCGGAACTGGATGGGGTGGCCTGCCCCGTGGGCATTGCCAACAGCAAGAAGGAGGCCAAGCAGCAGGCGGCTCTCTCTGCCCTCAACTACATCCAGAGCCAGCTGGAGGGCCCAGGTAAGGGGTCAAGTAACCGGGTGACGGAGCCCCAGCTGGGGTGGGGGCTGAAACCCTGTGTGCATGGGCATGTGTGTGGGTAGGCTGGGTTGCTGTGGAGGCCATCTGGGCATTAGGACCAGGCCAGTAGGGAGCTGGGGAGGGGCATGTGAACTGATCCTTGCATTAATGTCCTTTGAAGCCTGCCCATCCTGGGGGCAGGGCCTGCTAGAGGGGCAGCCAGGAATTGGTTTCAGGAAGATGATCCCACCCAACAATGGAACCTCTTGGCTTCCTGAGGGACAAAGGAGAAGAGGGCGGACCCCGGCACCCATGGCGACCCATCCCCTGTCTCTCTTTCAGAGTCCCCAAAGGCCCCCAGCAAGCCTTCACCACCCAGCGACCTCAGTGTAGGTAGGTGGGCCCCTGTTGACCTGACCCCTGTGGCGAGGGCAGGGGCACGGCCTGTGGGGCCCCCACCTCTGCCCTCTCCCTCATGTGCAGAGAACATCCTGACCCACGAGCAGCGCTGCGCAGCTGTGGTCAGCGCTGGCTTTGACCGTCTGGTGAATGAGACCTCACCGTACTGGGCCTGTAAGGGGACTGTGGCTGCTGTCATCCTGGAGAAAGGTAGGGGTTGCCCTGCC